CATGTAATTAATATTTTCTATTTTTAAAGTAAATTATTATTTAACCAATCAAATATTAAAAGTTAAAATTTTCCATTTTTAGCGTAAACAAAACACCACACGGACTCACAATACTTGAATAATATAGAAATAGAATTCTATTTTCTATTTTAAATACCCGCCAGCTGGAGAGGGAACGGCAACGCTGTACTCATTTGCGCTACATTTAGCCGCTCCTGGGGAATAGTAGGTTTTACTGGCGGCTAAACATAGGACTGCGATCCAACGTTGCCAAATTGATTTCGATGCTATGCGCGTGCCCGCCCACCCCATTGAGCCAAGTTTGGCTGTCTCTTTCAGTCTATCTTCTTCATTGATCTCTTTGGTGCAAATAAACAAACAAAGCTATAGGTGGCTATAGTATTGTATATTGAAGGTATTCAGTAGCTCGCTTATTGCTTGTATTTTTGATTTGTGTACGATTTGTTTCTAATTTTTTTTGAGAGCACGAATGCAAATGAATACTATTTCAAAATGGGTGTGTTTTGAATGCGATAAAGTATTTTCGACTCAAAGTAATTATAATCGACATCGACGTGAAGTTCATGGACTTTAATGAAAATAATAATAAAATGACATTATTATGGATCTCATTTGTAGTGTCAAAATGACATAATTTATTGGATTGAGTACTTTAATTTAATGCGATTTCATTAGAGTACTAAGTATTTAGTATAATGAGATCCCATTATAAGTACTATAATGAGAAAAAAATATAGGTAGGTTTAATAGGCAAAAATATAAAAAATTTATTGAAGACAACATTTAACGATTAAAATTATTTACAATTTCTGGAATATAAAATATTGTATGAAATTTGCATCATAAACAATCATTATAGCACACGCCGTGTTATCATTATTCACGGCTAATACCATAATGATCGTGATTATGATCCTTATAACATAAATATCTATAATAGGATTAATTTATTACCTACTAATCATGCGAGACTTTATTTGTTGTATAACAGAAATTAACCTTTAATTATTATTGTAACATTATCCGCAATATAAATCTATTTGAAATTTGGCGCTTTATAAAAGGAGGATTTGGCAACATTGGATCGCGATCCTATCCGTGCGTTCGGTATTTTGCTCAAAGAGCAGAGCGTGCTGAGCGGAGCCGTAATCACGTGACCAGTGAGCGAACAGAGCAGTTGAACGCTGTATAAAAGTGCCAGAAATTTTAATAAACGAACGCAAATGAGGCTGCACCGAGTACACTTTTTAAATAAACGAACGGTAAAGTCAAGCTCGGAGAACTCGGACCAAAATAACGAACGCACGGTATGTCTAGCCGCCAGTGTAGGTTTTGGCTTTAGCAATGCCGTCTTTGAACGCACTCCACAGCTGTCACATCCGTGGGTGGCTATTTATCTATTTATTTCTTGTTATATCTCAAGATTGAACATTTTAAAATATATAGTTTTCATTCTCTTTCATTTTTAATAAATAAAAGAACAAACTGCACAAACAAACAGGTAATTATTTTTAAAATTTGACATATTTGACACTAAGACAGGCGTCTCACGCCATGATATTGGAACGGTACAAATCTAAGCTGTTTTCTCGCGGTGGAAATGGTTTGACCCGGTTCAATTAGGTTCGAACCTGTACATTCTTGCGTTGAACTAGTGACGTCACATTAAACCAGGTTCAAAAAAGTTCGAACCGGACTCATGGCTTGTTCTCCGTTGCCATAAGACTGTGGTTCAAACCTCCCATTTTCTTGCGTTAACAAGTGATGACGTCATCTACAAATTGGTTTAAACCGTAGTTCGAACCATTCGCCCCGCGAGAAAACGCCTCTAGTGCGTGGCGCCCCCGAGATGCTGGTGCTCTAGAGCGCGCCAATGTGCATACTGGAAAGCGGCTCTTATATCTATATCATCGTGTTCGCAATAATAGTAGATTATACCACGAGTCAATAATGATAGCTATTATTCCCGAGGATTATTACGAACTGAGCCGCGTTAGCGGCGAGGGAGTAACATTCCGAGGGAATAATAGCCATTATTGCGAGTAGTATACTCTACTTTATTTATGACAAATTAATTTATTTGAGATTTTCAATGAACAAATTTCATCTGTCTCATAATTTTCAATACAAATTCACAGGCAGTACACGTTTGACACTGACACTTTTGTGGAATAATGACCATTAATCCCGCTACTCGTCATTAATCCCTGGAGGAATAACATATGTCATTATACTGCCAAAATCACAAATATAATACGCACATTATACATTAGTCGTAAATAAAATAACTTTATGTCCGATTGACCAATAAAGTGCTATTTATTTATAGAACAGTTTTGCGTCAATAAAGTAGCACTTTATTGTACTAGTAAAATAAAGTGCTACTTTATTTTACTAGTAAAATAAGGTGCTACTTTATTGCCTACCGACTACCTGACAAGTTGAAACAGGTCCTGACAACCTGCCAAAGTGAAACAGGTCCTGACAACCTGCCAAGGTAAAACAGATATACCTACGCAAATTTTACTTTTTTCATTAATTTTTTTTAATTTTTAACAAAAACCACTCGTAATCGTACTTAAAATCATGTATATAACGCTTACATAAACAGGCTTTATTGACTCATTATTTAATAGCCTCGCTCGCAAGCTCGCTCGGCCATAAAATTATTCGTACAATAAAGCCTTGTAGTCCAGGAGGTGGCGCCAAAAACATGCAAGAGTTTTCGCAAAGCGGATATTTTCAAAATAGGTCGTACTTTAGTGCTAGAATGCTAGTGTACAGTCAGTACTCACAGTTCCGGGACAGCTGGCTCTGGGACGCGGGCAAAGTTGTAATTTCAAGAAGCATCTAAACTGTTTTCTCAAAGCTCAAAATTTATAGAAATTTTGCACATTATCTGTTTGAAGGTCACAGATAACGTATGTAAATCGTCAGACGTCTAGTTCGTTGCAAAAAGGGGGTCAGACGTTCTCAAAGTTTTTATTTTATGGCATTTTCTTCAAATATATTTGTCAAATACCTGCAAAAATATATTTTGACAGAACACCGAAGAAAATGCCATTAAATAAAAACTTTGAGGACGTCTGACCCCCTTTTTGCAACGAACTAGACGTCTGACGATTTACATACGTTATCTGTGACCTTCAAACAGATAATGTGCAAAATTTCTATAAATTTTGAGCTTTGAGAAAACAGTTTAGATGCTTCTTAAAATTACAACTTTGCTCGCGTCCCAGAGCCAGCTGTCCCGGAACTGTTAGTGCTGACTGTACACTAGCATTCTAGCACTAAAGTACGACCTATTTTGAAAATATCCGCCTTGCGAAAATTCTTGCATGTTTTTGACGCCAGCTCCCCAACTATTACTTTATGTAGGTACTTGTTATATAAATAGCTATTTTTTTTGATATAAATTTATTCATTAAACAGTTGGGTGTGAATTACTAGTATCGACTCACCTGTTCAAACCTGCCAACCAGATAGTTATGCCAGGAAAAAAATAGACAATCCAACGTTTTTATATTCTTTAGGCCCTATACTTTCGATTAGTATGGAATTTGTTCGTTAAACAAATGAGTGCAATGCCTTTAACAATTATAATTTTTGAATTATTTATTAATAATAGTCTGGCCAGGAATTTTTTAGCCAACCCACACCTGATATTTTTTTTAACATACTAACTTTGATATAAAATAATTTTTACCCAATAAACAGATGGGTGCAAATCCTTTCCTATTTGGATCTTAGACTACAAGGATTGCGAATAATACACGTGCTCCTTGACTAAATGCAGGCCGGCTGATATTAGGTCTGTTTCTGCAGAAATCACCAACCAGTCAGAGTGAATTTCCTTGGTTGAAAATTTAATGTTTTAACAGCTCGAAAAAAAAAACAGTTTTTTTCCAAAAAAAAACCAGTTTTTTCCAAAAAAAAACGGTTTTTTTCCGAAAAAAAAGGGTTTTTTCCGAAAAAAAAAAACGGTTCTTTTTCGAGAGTATTGAAAAAAACTAAAATATGGAAAAAATCAAATTTAATTTTTTCTTAAATATTTCGCACAGGAAGGTGACAACAGAACAAAAACGAAATCATATGCATAGCATAAGCTGCATAAGTGACAGTAACATTAGATATCAGATTCTGAAGACTCATCAGAACATTCAAAACTTTCTACTTCAGAATCAGAAGAATCTTCAATAGGATTTGGAGCCTCGTTTGGACTTGTCAAAGCCAATAATAGTGATAAGAATATTAGACTGTTTTGTTTCTGTTGTACACAACATTAAGTAGTCATATTGTAACCCAGTAAATATATTAAAATTTAAAAAAATGAATTTTTCCAAATTTATCGGCTTTTTCGGAAAAGAAACTGTTTTTTTTCCAAATTTGAAAAAAAAAAACGGTTTTTTTAAAACTTGAAAACAGTCAGAAACTCGGTCAGAAACAGTCAGAAAACTAGTTTCAACCTCTGACTGGTTTGTGATTTCTGCAGAAACAGACCTAATATAAACATACTTTTCTGTACGAATCTCGAATATGAATATCTCTGGTCGCTTATTCTTGAAAGCAAGAGAAGGGAGTGGTCCCTGGGAGCTCCCAGGGAGTGTTCCCTCGTTCGAGCTCCCCCATAGCAAAATGTAGTATTCTTGAAAAATCAAACTCATGGGGGAGTATAAGGGAGGGAGCCAAATCGGGGAGCAGCGTTGCCGGTTTATTCAACCAATGAAATTGCAGAAAATTTTGACAGACTTGACATAACCTCACTTTTGTTGTTGTGTTTATTATTGTTTTTGTTGCCTTCAAATATTCAATTTATATTTTAATGGAATAATTGGAAAGCCGGAAGCCAGGAAAAATGGAATATAAGACAAAACAATTAAGTTCCAAACAAAAGGAACTTCTTGTTGATTTTGTGTACGCGCGACCAGATATGTAAAGGGGTAAATTAACCTCCACCTATACAAATTCTATAAGCATAGCATTGTGGAAGGAAGTGTCCTGCATCTTGAATGCTGTTCCTGGAGGAGCCAATAAGGACTGGAAACAGTGGAGAAAGGTAATTTTTTTGGTTTAATTATTCTTTTATTCAGTAAGTTAATTGTAAGTTGTGGTCTTACTTTCACTTATTAACTTCTTTCAGGCATGGACAGATATTAAAAAAAATGTTAAAAGCAGGATAAGCAAAGAAAAGCAATACAGCCAAGGAACAGGAGGTGGTCCTCCATTGCCCCCTCCGGAAGAAATTGAAAAAACAACTGAAGAATAAATATATGAGATAATAACTCCAGTTGCAATCCAGGGAAATCAAGACGTGCTCGAGTCAGAGATTATATTTGAAGAGAGTTCTGAACTGGCAGAAACAGAACAGACTTTTGAAAGCAATGTGAGTACTAGAGATGTAAAAAAACGGTTTTTTTTCAGATTTGAAAAAAAACATTGAAAAAAAACCAGAAAAAAAACGTTTTTTTTGTTTTTTTTCTAAATGATTCAAATGTAAAAAAGAAGGTTTTTTTCAGATTTGAAAAAAAAAACATGAAAAAAAAACAAGTTTTTGTGTTTTTTTTTTCAAAATAATTCAATTTCAAACTTCGTGAGTATCTCCAACCTCATCTTTGAGTAAAAAAAAAATTGACATTTGACGACCCTGGAGACATAGTATCTAGTTACAGTCTGAAAATTCTTCATACAGCGAAAGTGTCTTATATCAGTGATGTTCTGTTGTAGTATGTATGTTGTATAAATATGATGATTGTATGATCTGATATTATATGATAGTTCATGCATGGATGTACCATGTACCTGACCTGAAAACATGTTTCATTTACATAAAAATAGGTCTGTTTCTGCAGAAATTACAAACCAGTCAGAGTGAATTTCATTGGTTGAAATTAGTTTTCTGACTGTTTCTGACTGTTTTCAACCAATGAAATTCGCTCTGACTGGTTTGTGATTTCTGCAGAAACAGACTCAATATTGTTCCTATGTTATTTCTATATAGAATAAGACAATAATTTACGTTCTATCGATATTTCACTGCTTAAACCAATTTTTTGTCCCAAGAAAAGTTTAATTGGCAAAAAAAGTAAAAAATGCGCATATGGTGCTAAGTTTAGAAAAAAAACACAAAATCTGAAAAAAAACCATTTGAAAAAAAACCATGAAAAAAAACTTGAAAAAAAACAAAAAAAACGGATTGTTTTTTTTCACGTTGCATCTCTAGTGAGTACATTGTATTTTATTATTTACAAGTAACTAATTATTATAGATCATTGTGATATTTTCAATGTTTTACGAAAAATTGTTATTGTGGTTGAGAACAGTATATTCTGATTTTAAAAGATTTATTGATTAAATGCTTAAATAGCTATTATTTTTGTTAGTAAATATTGTCACTCAGTATCTTTTTCGCCCTAATACAATACTGGAAAATGTTGAAACCCCATTGCCAACAAACCATTTTTTAAAAAATGTAATGTTCTTGTTTTTTTCTGCATTTTAGGAAATTGATTTTATGGACATTCAGGAAATAGATGCTACGCAGGATGAATTAACAGAGAATATAGAAAATCCAATACTTTATCACGACTATACTAAACTTCCACCCGAAATAAGTAGACCAGATAAAATTGTTAGAGCTAAAAAGGAGGAGATCCAAGGGAAGGTTGTGAAAAGGTACCTATACAAAATCAGCAAGATTGACAGATTCCCTCAGGAACAACAAGAAGTTCCTCGACATAAGTCAGAAAGGCATTGTCTCTACAAATAGCTTTCGGGAACGAAAATTAAAATTACTCGAAAAACACTATGCAACGAAGAGCAATTATTATCAAAAAAAAATCGAGGCTTTTGAGAAGAGGGAAAAATTTCATCAAAAGCAAATCACTGTTTTAACTGAAATTTCAAATGCAGTTAACAAGATTTCAGCTGCAACCTTTTCATCAAAGGAATAATTAAAATTTGTGTCAACTTAGGAATGACTCTGTATTTTTTCAGTGATAAAATCATTTCAAGGATCTCTGGTTACCAAAATATAATTGGGTATAACAATTTATATACTTAATAGTTAAAAATAGGTATATGTATAGATTTTCTCATGTTTTTGATATAACATATTAGAGAAGTATTTATGTTTTGTTGTTTGATTTAAGATTTTTTTTTCCTAATTTATAGACTGTTCGAGAGACTGTTACACTTAATAGTTAAAAATGAATATATTTTTTCATGTTTTTGATATTACATATTAGAAAAGTATATATGTTTTGTTGTTTAATTTAAGATATGATTAGAAAAGTATTTATGTTTTGTTGTTTAAGAGTTTTTTCCTACTTTATAGGAAGGTACCTATGTCAATTAAGTTTTAGCACTGAATGTTTAGCATTTATCTGCTCATAAAGTCTATAGACTTTTTTGAGTGCATGATCTGAAATTTTGGACGCTGATTGGCCAAAATTAGGGGGTCGACTTGGGCAACCAGCACTCAATTTAAACGATTAACCCAAGGCCCCAAAATGTAGCCAATCAGCCTCCAAAATCTCAGATCACGCACTCGAAAAAGTCTATAGACTTTATAAACAGACTATAGGATAATTTAATTCAGATTAACAGTTGGTAAATAAAATATTTAACACATTACTTAGGAATATTTTATTTCACTCATGCATACAAAAATAAAGGTAACTAATAAGAAAATATTACCTATCAATCAATCAATCAAAATATACTTTATTGTCAGAAAATAAATTTCATTGACAAAGCATGATCTTAAATAATGTGCAAGTGATTAAAAATTATTGGGTTATAAAAAAAAAGAGGTACAATCAATAAAATAAAAAATAAACATAAACACAAATGTCAAAGCACAATCCTAAGCAACACATGTACAATTTTTACTACATCAAACTATAGAGTCATATAGAAGGTTCAGCCAATACAGAAAAAACATAAAGGTTGCGGTCAGAACAAAACAAAACAATGAAACAAACAAAATTAAAATTTTTCATTTAAAAATTCACTAATATGATAGTAGGCTTTTCCATGTAAAAATGTTTTGAGCTCTAGTCTGAACTTTTTAAAACCACCTATCTGCCTTAAGTTAACAGGCAGATGATTAAAAATTTGCCTACTTTTATAAATTAGTGAATTTTGCGTCAATGCAGTCTTGGGTATAGGAAGCTGAATTTTAAGAAGTTGCCTAGTTGGACAAGTTCTTGGATATTCTAACTCATCATAATGTTTTTTGTGCATAAGGCAAGCAGTTTCCATGATAAATATACAGCATACTGTAAGTATTTTATGTTTTAAAAATAGTGGCTTGCAATGCTCCCAATATCCAACCTTACACAAATAGCGCACTGCTCTCTTTTGAATGACAAAAACAGAATCAAACAATTTATTAGAACAGTTACCCCAAAATGCAATGCCATACCTGATATGAGATTCAACCAACGAGAAATAAACCAACTTAGCAGTATTCAAACCAAGTTCATTTGACGCTATTCTTACAACATAGCAACCACTTGCCAATCGTTTGTTTAGATTTGTAACGTGCTCATTAAACTTAAGTTGAGTATCAACATGAACACCAAGAAATTTACAGCTAGTTTTATTTTCAATTGTGTGTGTGTCTAATAATAAATCATCAAAAAAAAATTTAAATGTCAATATGTTGGTTTTCTTAGAGTTAAAACAAAGCAAGTTAGAGTCACACCAGCTCTTTACAAGATTTAGGTCTTCAGAAATAATCTTTTTCAACTCTTCAATATTTTTTCCGTTCCAGGACAGAGTAATGTCATCAGCGAATGATGTTATTTTAGCTCTAATGGGGAGGTGATTAATATCATTTAAATAAAGTAAAAACAATATTGGTCCCAACACAGATCCTTGTGGAACACCATTGGTCACAGCCAAGTTTGATGACTGAGTATCACCAATCTTAACAAATTGTTTTCTTCCCGAGAAATAAGATTCAAACCATGAGTATGAGATTCCTCCGAAGCCATAAATTTCTAGTTTTTTAAGCATTATTTTATGATTTACGCAATCAAAGGCTTTAAAGAAATCACAAAACACAACGGCTATATAGAAACTAACAAAAATCAACTTGAAAAAACTTAAAATAGTAACTTAATTATTCATTAAAATGATTTGCGATGATGTTCTGCTGCAAATCCCTTCCGGCTGCCAAATCAGGGTTAATTTGTCGTGGCATGTTCTGAACAACATTTTGGATATTGTACATTCCATAATCGGGTTCTTCAATATGAGGTTCATCTGGTTCTGGAATATTTCTCTCTATACATAAATTATGGAGAACACAACAGGCATTCACAATTTTTCCAGCTGTTGTTGGGTGGTAATGTAAAGTGCGGTATCTTAATAAACACCTAAATCGGTTTTTAAGTACGCCATTACATCGTTCAATGATGGACCTTATAGAACATAATCTGTCATTATACCTTTGTTGTTCAACATCTTGTGGATTTAAAATAGGAGTAAGCAACCAAGGGCGAGTAGGATACCCTAAAAATTAAAATACAAAAATATTTAAGTTAAGTGGTATGATATTCAATATAAAAATATGTAGTCATAAAATTTACTAATTTTCCTTTTCTTCTACTTTTTGATAAATCCTACCTGAATCGCCCAGCAAGAAAAAAACATTTGCAGGGTCCCTCCTATATAATCGTTCCATTAAATTGGATACTGCAGATTCTCTCCAAATATGTGCATCATGGGTGGATCCAGGGAATCTTGAGTTAACATTCAATATTCTGAGATTATTATCACAAACCTGAAAAAAAAATGAATATACAGGGGTCTCTAGAATAATTTTTTTTTTCTACATTCACATGGCGCCTTGATAAAAAAATAGTTTCCTACATTGGTATATATGGTAATTTTGGACATAAATTAAAATAATGACGTCAAAAACATTCAAGGTCTATAATAATATGTTAAACTCTTCTGAATTTGTAATAACTGAAATACAGTTTCTAAAAATACCCATGGAGCAGAATAAAGACTGTCCATGAATATGGTTTCCAATATCCCCATATCTTAGGTCAGAGTTACCCAATTCCTAAATTATTAATTGTTGTCGTCCTTAATTCCTAATTCTTAAAAAGTTCAATTTATTAATTGGTGTTTTCGAAGATTAAAGAAGAAAAATTAAGAATTAAAGAATTTGGTAACCCCAACTTTAATTATTTTATCTTGAGCACACTGTATAGGTATTTTCTTGTTTTTTTTTTCAATACTTACTAGTTG